TAAAAAATTAAATATTAATTCCTTGAAATATAAATTAAATATTAATTTTTATTTCTAAAAAAGCGAGATACAAAGCAATGATTCCACTCAATGGATTCGTTTTTTTTTGGAAAATAACGCTTCAAAAATTTGCTAATACAGTTCTTGCATATTATTCGAAACAACGTTTTTGGAATTATATGGGTTTTGCAACTTGACGCTTCAATAGTTAAAACTATTAAATAATTTCACATTCCAGAATAAAAACATCTAGGAGAAATATAAATCAAAAGCGATTGTTTTGATTGCCAAATCAAAACGTAAATATTATTTTCGTACAGGATGTTATGTATAACCAAGATTTAGATCATATTTATTTTTGTCTGCTTTGGCGAGTAGTAAATTTGGACTATGATATGTTTCAGTCGACATCAAAACAAAGTTATCATCATTAAAAAAGTTTAAATAAACTTGGACTAGTAATTTAGTAAATAAATTAAATTTAAAAGGTTGTTAAGTTGTTGTATCATAAGCAAAAAAACTAAATAATAAATAACACTACTTCATACAAAATAAATATTCTTTTACAGTACACTTTTTATTCAGTAGAGCCTGCGGAAAAGAATATTTATAATTATAGGGACCATGAATTATTTTCAAGTTTGTAGAATGATAACTAGAGGATTTGCTATGGAAAATAAGAAAATGGAATTTTTACAAAATTAAGAGAGAGATTAGGGGTCCTATATATTATGTAAATGGCGTCATAATCTTAAACAAATTTCGTTTTTTTTTGTACGAACAATTTTGCTTTATCTACTAAAATGAAGTGGCGGGGAAAGGTTAGATCTGTTTTTGTTTAAATATTAATAACTCCGGACTGGATAATCGGAATCCAACAAACTAAGCCTCGTTGTGTGCGTTCCTTACTCTATATTATACCATAAGATTAATAACAATAATTTAACAGTAGACGCTAGGGAGCGCATATTACTCTCAGCTAAAATTATATTTACGATTACATTTATTTATTTTTTTGAAAAAATGCACAGTATTTGTTAAATTGTAAGAAAGCGACCTCTAGCATCTACTTTTACAAGCTTATTATTATTATTTATATCGTATAATATAGGGTAAGAAAAGCTCTTATAAATGAGCTCCAGTTCCTTGGATTCCGATTACCCAGTCCGAAGATGTGTAAGTTCTTAATATTTAAATAAAAATAGATCTAACCTTCCCCCACCACTATATTTTAGCAGATAGGGCAATATAGTTTAAACAAAAAAAAATACGCCATGACTCATAACTAGGCAAAATTTTGTATAAATTCCATTTTTTTATTTACCATAGCGAACCTTTCTACCAAACTTGAAAATATTTTCCAGCAATTTTCTCTCATAGATCTCATAGCTTTACAGCTAATACAGTCGAGAGCGACTTAGTGAAACACACTAGACGTTTTGCTATAAAAAAATTCTAAACTTAATCTAATCTAATAATAAATAAAAAAAAAAGATTAAACCTTGAACTTATAAAAAGTTTGGCATCACTTCTACTAACTCTAGATATTAATTTATAACGGTTTCATGAATTATATATTTTTGAAAAAGCCCAAATCAAAATTTAAAGAACAGACATTCACACATTTGATGCCAAATATACTTGTTTTCTATTAGATCTACGTATTTTAATTGGATCAAGCATTAGCTTATTAAATTAGTTGAAAGATTTATAAAAACAGGCAGTTAGTACCTAGTGACTCTCTAATTAGTATATAGTAACAGAAAAATACGAGGTGAAAATTTAATTTTCCAGTCCGGTACAAACACAAATTTCTCATCATCAAATTTGGTGGAAAAACAATAAATAAAACAAATCGAAATACGCAATTTCGGTGAAAAAAGTGTTTATTTTTAATGACACACACAATCTGCTACAAACCAAACGCACTAATTATACAGAGAAAAGACTAAATTTAAAAGCGTAACATAAAACTAGCGCAAGCTATTAAATGCAATTTATTACAAAAACTAGAGGTAACTTCGGTAAATATCGAAACAGAAAAATGTGGAACATGTTTTCGATAATGTTTGCTTTTTGTTTACAGAGTTCTATTTGTCTCAAATTACTCTATCTATATAAATGCAGCAAAAAATAAATAAAATGGTCTAAATAAATTGGTACCTACAGTAAGCGACTGAATACAAACAAAAAAGGGCTTTATTGGATAAATCACAGTTTTACAATTTTTGTTTTTAAAAAAAGTTAGTTAATCGTTATATTTAGAATTATCTATGTATATTTTTTAATATGAGTATATTTTTTAATATGAGTAAAATGTTTTTTTTTTATTCTTAAACAACAATATCATACGATCGAAAAAAAAACGGCCTCAAAGACAGCTGGGGAATGACATCTATGATAATTTTGGCGAGGTTAAGCCCTAGAGTCAATTACTTGGCCCGTATTCGTCTTTGTTTCTTAATGACGCTTACTGCCAGTTGGCTTTAAGAAGTTTGTAGTGTTTATTTTTTATATATTGAGTAAAAATGATTTTTAATTAGTGTAGTTTAAATTTTAGTGTATTTTTTTGGAAATTGAATTTATATATTTGAAAACGTTCCATCCTTTTTTAACCTTTCTATAATAACTATTAATTTCTGACAAGTTTTATATAGATACATAACATATATAACATATTAATGCCCATGGATAAAACCAGGAGATATATTTTGAGATTAAACTTGTAGCGTTCACCACAAAATAATTCAGGTCATTTGAGCTAGGTCAAGCCATTTCAAAGCTTTATCCATGGGTTCATGACAGTCTATTGGATAAAAATCGCATAATTTGACTATTGTACAGGGCGAGTCGAAAACCCAGAGAAAACTTTATAGGTCTGAAAATTTTAGAAAAAAATCGTTTTTTTTAATTTTCTAATTAGTAACTCAGCTGCTGTAAGCTTATTTGGAAAAATGTCAAGAGAAAAAATATTTCTTTTATTATTATATTTGTCTTAAATAACTGTAAATATATTGGTAGTATATTTCAATCTCAGAAACACGACTCGCAAAAAAATCAACATTTGGAATTTTTTAAATCTTTTGAAACATTTTTTTGCTTTAATTTTATGTTAAAAAATGTATATATTTTGGCTTCAGAAATACGACTATGAGGTGTTTTTTTGGCGAATTTTTTTTTGATAATTTGGAATTTTTTTAATTTTTGTAATTTTAAGTTAAAAAACTGTTCGCAAACTTTGCAACTGAAATTTTTAAAGCGCAGACAAAAACTGGATTGCCTCATTACACCTTTGTCTATTAATAGAAAAAGCAGGTATCGTTTGGTGCAGAATTTTCTACGGAGACTGTATATTATAATATGTAACATTAACTATTTTTTTCTGAAAAATAACTAGCACCTATTCATCACAATATATTATAAAACACTTTTTAGCCTCATAGAAGACTAATACCGAGTTTAGTGACTGATATTGAGTATAATGACAATTACTGAGTTTAGTGATTGATATTGAATAATAATTTTACATACAAAATAACAGCGATTTTCAATTCCATCTCTGACGTCGTTTTTTTCGATCGTATGCTAGCTAGAATTGTATATGACTTTACCTATCTTAATTTTGGTTTAGTTTAGTTGTTGAACTTTTATATTCAATTTCTGCCGGGTGCGAAAGTTTACGCAGATAAAATAATAATCTCTCAATCTCTCCAAAAAATCCTATATAGGTATTTTGCCACTGCAAGAAAATCTACAAAATAAAATAGTTATTTTTTGTAAACACTTCTGGCGTTAATCCCAAACGGAAACTACTTGTCAGAAGTTAGGTTTACAGATATACAAATTTGCCTAACGAACAAAAAAATGCTTAATAACCAATTACTGCTATTTAATGCTTTTAAAGAACGTAACATAAATAAACATAACATACCTACGTAAAAATTAAAAATTATCATAGAGAAAGTTTGGGGCTTTTTGGTTTTGCCTTATTAAGTAATTGTTATCAGGTAGTAATTGTTTATTTTGAAGTTTAACTTGATATACTGTCATTTTAACTGAATGTCAACGGTTTTTGTGGACATATATGCATAGATAAATGCAACAAGTTTAGATTGGAAAGCCCGTAAAAATTTTGGGTCGCGAAATTATTTTGGGTCGCGACCGTTATACGCGATTTGGCGCTGCTATAGCGGTCGCTAAGAACAACGACAAACAAAAACAGAAATAATTTTCTCTTGTCAAAGTCAGAGTCTTCAAAAATCATAATATAATCTTTCAAAATCTAAACCGCTCTCATTAAAGAAATTCCGAAAAGTGTTTATAGCGTCCATTTTCAAAGTAATAATTGCTATCTTGTGAGTTTAATTCAAGTTTTATTTACTCCAACCGGTGATAATTTTGAAAAAGTGGCATTAAAATCTTAAAAAGCTGTGCTGTGAACTGTGAACTGCAAAAACCATCGTGGATCGTGGCATATAACGTCGGTTTCCAATGTTTCATAGGTATTTCATACATGCGTCCTTATATAAAATAAACTTTCTTGTATGCAACACACTGTCTTTTATTTTAAAATTAAACGAAAATAATAATAAATTTGAATAAACAATATTTGGCGATATAATTCCGGAAAAAGCCGAACCGCTCCGAAATTTTCAAAAGTTTTGGGTCGCGACCGTTGCAAGAATAGCGCCAAATAGTGTTTACATTGTCCTTATGGGCACTTTCCAATCTAAACTTGTTTTATTTATCTATGCATATATGTTTTAAAAAACTAAAGTGTCCTCGAATAGTTAAATTTAAATATTTTAAATTGTTTTTTTCTTTATTATTTGTATTTTTTTGCTTCCGACGACGGAAAGAGATAAACTTGCCGAAACGTTAAGCATTTTTTTCTTCGTTAGGCAAATTCTATATCTGTAAACCTAACTTCTGACAAGTAGTTTCCGTTTGGGATTAACGCAGCAGTGTTTACAAAAAATACCTATTTTATTTTGTAGATTTTCTTGCAGTGGCGAAAAACCCATACAGGATTTTTTGGAGAGATGAATCCGCCACATAGGTATAGACATTTTTTTATTGAATTTAATGTCATAGAGTGTAAAAATATAAAGTGTTTTGTTATATTGTAGTGAACTAGTAACTACTTAGTTGATCTTGTAAAACTGATGATGTTACCGTTAAAGCCCATTAAACTATAAATTACTTAATTCATTTCCCTCATTACCAAACAGGTGGCAAGTCAGAATAAGAATACATTTTCCTTTTATAAGGCAGATCAGGACACTCCGCCACTTTGTGTAAACGTGGCAACACTACATCGATATTATCTTCGTTCGGAGCCATTCCCTTCCTGAGGATATCGCAGAACACCTTCTCCCTGGTCCTGTCCCGGGCTGTCAAGTAGGGCTTGATCGGTTCCAGCACGGCCTTGGGCTTGATCTTGGCCCTTTCTTCAGGGTCCAGAATGGATTTGCGTTGCGGTCTTTGCTGTTGCTGTTCCAGTTCTTGCTTGGTGGGCCGTTTGCCGAAGGCGGTGACGGGATCTGGGACCAGGCTGGGTCTCGGGACAAACGGGACCTTTTCCCACGGGATCTCGCGTTTCTGGAAGCAAGGGAAGTTGGTCATCAGTGCCCGTTTGTCCCAGAAAACCAGACTGCTTTGGGGTGATGATGGGGTGAAAGGGGTTTAGTTTTGTCTTATTTTGATCTTGAAATATTCAGGGTGGGTTTAAAATAAGTGCAAATATTTTTAGGGATAGTATGTTTCGACCATTCAGAAACATGTCTATGAGGTTTTTTCGTAAAAAAAATATGAAAATTTTAAATTTTAATTAAAGAAAATAACTTAATAATATGGCAACATAGGCAGTAGATTAAATTTGCAAGAAAGAAAACAGAAAATATCCATTGGTTCTCAAAATTTAATTGTGGACTTATTTGAAAAACAGTAATGAGAAAATATGTTTCTTTTATCGACCAGTCCTAAAAATATTTGCCCTAATTTAAGACTCATCATGTATGGTATAAATTATAATGAATACCTAATTTACTTTAATTTAAATTGGTAAATCCTTAACTGCTTTTGCTATAATTGACTCTTTTTACATATTGCTGCATACTATTTTTACTTAATATAACATCAAAATTACTTTATGTAGTAATACAACTTTTCCAAAGTATACAGTATGTCCCCAGATTGATTTTACAAGAGGAAGAACTTGTTTATTATTAATATTTTGGAAAAAATGCATTCTTTCTCAAAATTTTGCTTGTTCCAAATTTCCGTGCCATTTTAGAAAAAAAGGAGAAAAATATTAAAAATATGTTTTTACCTTGAAAAATAAAAAAACGCGTTTCTATGGTAGTGTAATTTCATTTCTATTCTTTCGGAGATCGTTATTTTGAATTTTGAATAATTCATATCTTTTGCTGTTTTAAAATGTTAAAAACTATGGAAATGGTGATACTATAGTTATCGGAAAATGTGATAGTTTAGTAATGTCAGAAAATATGACGTCAATCAATATAGATGGTTATTAAGGAATGAAAATGAAAGAATACTACCATAGAAACACGTTTTTATTTTTAGGACTTTCAACCATATTTTCATATTTTTTATTTCTCTTAAAATAGTAGGGAAAAAATTGGAAATGTATAAACGGGATTAGCCATTTTAGAAGAAGCAACATTTGTACAAAGAACGCATTTTTCTCAAAAGTATTAATAATAAAAAAGTTTTTCCTTATGTGAAGACGATCCGGGAACATATAGTAGATTTAACACTTTTTGTACAGATTGTCCCAAATTTGAGGGTGAAAATTAGGATCTCGAAAACTATAACAGATACTAAGATCAAATTGTAGTAGAGTTCTGAAAATAAAAAAGTCCGTATACCCCTATAGATATTTGGTAAAGAACAAAATATATTATTATGGCTTTTATTTTTTTTTTCTGGTCTTATTTGAAGGTGATTTTGTAAAATATATGCCACTTCATCAACGTCGCTTTTTTATCTTTATAAGATGGTGGAATTAAACGTCAAATCCGACGTTTCACTTCCAAAATATCATCATCAACTTTATTTTTTTTAAATACGTTCCTGAATTTTTTTATTTCATTTTTTAAAGCTTATGATCTCCCAGATGGAATGATGTAGCACACTTTTCCAAAAAATGTATAACAAATAAAATTCTCAAAAAATGCAATACGTCAGACAGAGAAGTGTATATGGATCATTTTGATTGTCAGTATATAAAAAACAAGAAGTAATTTTTGGATAAGTGTGATGTCTTATTGAAATTGAGAGGTTAAGAATAAAAAATCCAGGTCCGTAGGTGTAAAAAAATATGTTGATGATGGTATCTCGGAAAAGAAACGTCAAATTAGAAATTCAATTGCGCAATCTTATAAAGTGAAAATAGTGACAGTGAAAAATAGTGAAATTTATTGAAAAACGTATCTTTAAATAAACCTAAAAAAAGCAAATTGATTTTACAAAAATTCGTATTTTTCCAAATGTCTTCGAAATTACTCGGAATTTTGTATTATTTTTTCAAATACATATATAAATTTTTTCTATGTGTATTATAGGACAAGTGTATTTACCAAAATCAGTTCCTATTACTAGTGGGTGTTGATTTATGAGTATTTCTTGTAATTTTTAGCAAAAGCAGCTTTTCAAAACATTAATAAAGATAATTCAAGATCAAAATAAGACAATTCTGTAGCACGATGATACCAAATACCAATATCCCGCCATTATATACAAATTATAAAATCAAAATATCAAAGTTTTAAAATGCATGAGATGATTTTGACACAAGATATTTGATATTTGGACCACCTAGTACAGTGAGACATAACTAAAAATACCGATAAGCAGGGAATTGGGACAAACAAGCACAGATAAACTAACGTTACATGAGAAGGACCTATTTTTAGATAGGTTTATATTAGTATAATATGTTTTTAACGTTGTTTTGCGAAAGTATAGTAAAATAATAAACCGCAAAGCTTCAAATAAAATTTTATGGCTAAAAACATTATTTTTTGCATTTTTCGGCAATTTATTTTTACTAGTCAAACTGTTTCGGAATCATTAATTGAGGTACAGTGGCGGAGAGTGGTTTTTAATTTTTTTGGGGTGTACAACGAGAAAAAAATCTCATCAGGCGACCATGCCAAAAAAAGACTTTTTTATATCTAGAGACTCTATTTGATTCATTGCCTGGAAACTTATATGGTGAAATTTTGATAAAATAATTTAGTACACACTAAAAACACGGTATGTCGCTAGTGGTAGGAAAAATAATTTTTAGAGGTTACTAGTTTATTTGGTTGCCTGTGATATGCATATACAGGGTGTTTCCTAATTAATCTAAAAAATAAAAAATCGTTAGAAAACGAATTAAGGCGGGCTCTTAATAAGTATATTTATTTTTTTCTCGACAACCGTTTGATGAACAAGAAAAACGCAAAAGATCAATTTTGTTGAAAAAGGATGGCCGGTCAAGAAAAAAATATATTTTCTTTAAAAAAGCAGTGGTGTACCATTTATGTTAAGCAAAAAAATCGATTTTTTTTAATTTTTAACACCCTGTAGATCAGAAAGGAAGTACTTTAGACCTAATGGGTATATAAAAATTGTTTTAAGAACACATGAGGAATCACACCATAATTTTTTTAGACTAATTCGAAAACACCCTGTATATTGTCAACTTGACAATGACTGCTGATAAATCAAAAAATACCTTTTCAGTGAAAAAAGCCTGATTTTCGCAGGAAAAATTTTGATTTTTATTGAATTTGGGCCTGCGTTTGCAAATACTCGTTTGTTTTTTAATTTTCTATCTATCTAAATTTTAAATATCATAGTCAGAAATAGTTTTATTATTTATTAACTGTAAAAATGGAGTTTTCTTGTTGTGTTGCATCTTGCAAAGAAACTAACAAAACTGCAAAAATGTACGTGTTTCCAAAAGACGATAATGTATGTATCTTAGATAAAAGAAAAATATATGGTATGTATTCGTTGTTTGATTTTTTTTCGTTCGCTTTAAAATCTATAAATCTCGGTCTATTACGACTTACGATCATTTACATGGAAACTCTGTAAAATAAATAAAAAAATAAATTGTAAAATATATATATTCTTATGTTTTATTAAAGTTACTCTGATATACTAATATATCAGTGTAACTTTAAACATAAATCCTTTGAATTCAAATATAAACATAAAAAACATTTACAGCCGAAAAGGCGAAGGCGCTGGGTTAAACGTAGTCTCCACTAAAAACACGGAGGGGCGCTTTGACCCAAAATTTTACTACTAAGTTTCATATCTATCATTATAGTAGATTATTTTCTTTTATCTATGATTTGATCTAAGTCTGCAAATTACAGAATCTTATTTTCTTAAAAAAATAAAAACTAACAACCAAGCCTATTAAAATGTATTGTCTTGCGAAGTGCATGTGCACGCATAACATGTGCACACAAGCCAGCTGAAAACAGGGTGGTCCGAACTGTATTCCGGAAATTTCGGCATCATATTTTGCCGTTAAAAATTAAATAAAAAAGTTCGTATAAATATAGGTCCTAAACTGCTTTGTTTCTTAGATACAGGGTGTAGAAATTTAATATTTTTTCGATTTTGTCCAGGTAATTTCTGAAGTACGTCAATATTTGGATGAAATTTGGCGTATGATAGTTTTTTGACATGAGAAATTTGATTTTGATGTCAATATGACTCCTACTTGTAGAGGGCGCCACTTAGATGTGTTTTAAATATTTTGAAGCTTAATAACTTTTTGTCCGTACCTGTATAAAACTTCCGAGGGAAAAAATATACATCTCTGTGACATAGGCGCCATCTACATATTTAACTGGTTTAAAGAGTAGGTAATAACTTTTCGTCCGCATAACTACTTTACGAGGTTTTTTTTTGTAAAAAGATCTCTTGTTAAAAATCTCTACAAGTAATGGTTCTCGAGATATTCGGAATCGAAATTATTTCTCCAAAAAAGTCCTATCTGGGTGTTTCACATAAATTAAACATGTTGACTAAATAGTTATTAGACTGAAATCATAAATTTGAAATGTTTTGTGCCAAAAGTTCAACAGAAACTGTTTTATCACCATTTTCTCGAAGAAAAATTTATGATTAATTTAAAAAAATAAAAAGATCCAAAAATTTATCATTTCGGTCAAATAACTATCCACCAACATGTTTATTTTGTGTCAATAATGACATGTATCGACTATTTCCATTCTAAATATCTTGAGAACGGTTGCTCGTAGCGATTTTTACAGATACATTTTTTACGTAAAAAATCACGGAAATATATGTTTTTTTACTCAATAGTTGTATACAGATACGGACGAAAATTTATTACTCTCCAAAGAGTTAAAACACATGTAGGTGGCGCCCCCTACAAATAGGAGTCATATTCACATAAAAATAAAATTTCTCGTGTCAAAAAACTCCCAGACACCAATTTTCATCCAAATATTAGCGTTACTTCAGAAATTATTTGGAAAAAATAGAAATAAATATGAAACTTCTACACCCTGTATCTCCGAAACTAAGAATTTTAGAACATA